TTTTGTTTTCTTTCGCTCTCTTTTAATGTTTTCTTTCGGGAAGGGTGTGTTCTTATTTGGACTGGACAAATAAATAACACACCATTCGTCTTGTGGAACAATATAAGCGGACATTTTTTAAAAACTTCTGAAGCAATTGCTCTACGCAGTGCAAACGTCAATATAACACTGTTTTCTGTTAGGTTCAGACCGAACTCTAGGCTGTCTGTTGAGTGTCTATCCACTTCGGTGGCGTCTGGGGCCTGGTAGTTAGGCCACCGGACTCGTAATCATGAAATTGCGGATTCGGGGGTTTGAGCCTCAGCTCGGTCCGACGTTGTGTATGGGGAAAGACACTTACATGAATCTCCCGCTCGGCTCGGTCCTTTCGGAGATGTACGTTAAACTCGGAGGTCACGCCTCTTAAATAACCTAACAGTGTTGATAGAGGCGTTAAACACAACAGAGATTAAAATAAACGTGTTCTTTTCCTTTGACTTTTCCTAGCCAATATCGTATGGAGATCAATATTGGTCTGTGTGCACTGGTGCAGCAGAAAAGTGGGTTTACACCCATATACTTTGTTCTATATCCTACTGGAAAAAAAGCCTACTAAGTATACATAGTAGATTAAAAGTACACACCATAAACAGAAACAGTTTGCTTCAACCTCCGGTAGGGGCTTCTACACAATTCAACAAACCTCATTGCCCTGGGAGAATCGAATCACGGACTTTCAGTGAGACAAACGTAGACCACTGTCTTACCTTAGAATTACAAAGCTCTATCTGACATTTTTGGCCGTTTTGAGGTACTAAGACTATAAGATCAGATACCAAAAATCGCAAGATTACTTGGAGGCGCTATCAAGATATTCGAAGAATTGCATTCGAAGAATTGCATTCGAAAAAGCTTGACATGTTGTGAAACTCAAACTTTAGGACGTCAAATTTCTCAAACCTGGAGACTGAGCAGACAGAACTTTGTAATTCCAGGATCACGACTCTGCAAGACATTACATGCAACAAGGAGAAAGTCGTCAGAATACAACGTCATCATCAATCAGATCAGATCAACTGCGTTTGTGTGCTATACCCCGCTAACGAAACTACGCAATTTTAATTAAGAAGTGACGTATGAGTATGACGGAGTCATGCACGGGGGTGGTTGGCGGGTGCTCTGGTGTGGTTTGTTCGTCCTTTTTTCCTACCAACCAATATCGTCCTGATCTTTCCTCATTCTTCTTTTTTGTTTGTGTTTGTTACTCTCTTGTAACACCTCTAATCTTAGGCACTTATAATACGACCTAACTGTGTTGCAAGAGCTGTAAAACTCTTACTAAAACTAAACAGAAGCCTTACATTACACTGAGTATTCGAGTATACGTTATCACGACACCGTATTTGTCTAAGTTATGAAACGTGGGTCCCATCACGTGAGACCTAGAGCACGTGGCGTGAAAATCACGACAAAACGCCAGCGTAGGTGTTCTGAGGAAATTAAAAATGAAGAAAACAACAGTTAGATAAAACAAAACAAACAAAACAAGGGGTAGGCGTGGGTGGGTCTGGAGGCAGGAAGGGAAGGAGGGGGGCAGGGAGGGGGAGGG